TTCTGGACGGGTGGTGTGGGAAACAGAACCGTTTACGAGATGCAACCAACTATCACAATTAAATAAAACGTCGAAGGCCACAAACCTTATGAATCCACCCGTTGAGAGTCTCAAGTCATGTGGATAAAGTAACCCATAAAAGTAATCTGTTTGGTACACTGAGTCCGATCCTGATCTGAACTCAGTTCACCCACCCTGTTCGTCGGTGGAATTTGAAGTCACAATCCAGAGGAGCAGTGTTTAACAGATCGCAATTTCGAGGCTGAACACTTCTCCGAACCGTGGAAACTCACGGGAAACTGAGACGAGCACCCCATATAGACCGACAATACTGAACTGCTGTGCGCCCTCTATAGCTGATAGAGATGTGGTGAGATTGAGTCAAAAGCAACTCGTCGCCCGATGACTACCATGTAACTCGAAGCGAAAATATGTAGTGCTGTTTACATGGAGGTCATAGCCGGCAAACGGTTGACAATGGTGGTTGCCAGTGTCAGTACGACAAGGTTTGACCCGAAATGACATCTGAAGAGATGTCCTGATCTGACATACGACCGATTGTTACACAGAAAGCGCAGAGCAAGGACAAATACACTAAGAAGGTTCATGGCTCACGGCCAATGTTATAGACCCTATATACTCCCGAAAACCAATCGTATGCATGCAGCTGTTCATTAGGATCCATGCTGAAATGAGCAGTCCTGCATGAATCTTGCAGGCGACTGGGGTACCGTAAACAGTGAGTTACAGACGCTGAACCATCAGAGACGTGAGACGCATGGACTTCTCCAACAGAACAAATCTGGTTGGTGCATATGCATTAGGACGCTAACGCCCTGTGAGATTAATAGGCACATACACCAACTCCGATGGAGTCATAGCAAGTGTGCGGAGACTAAAAGGCGTTATGATAACCTAAGTTTGGAAGATGATTCGGCTTTCTTGTTAGTGGAGCTGTGGAAAGAAGTATTGGTCTCTTGCCGGTCAACAGGAGATGAAGGCGCTTGGAAAGGAAGGGGGAACAAAGATAACGGATCACCTGCGACGCCGTGGAGTTGTCAAATGAGACTACCGGTGTCATTTCCGAGTGATAGCTTTTGCATGAGACATGAGGCAATTATAGGCAATGATTCAGCCGGATGCAGGATCTAATGGAGTAATGGAAGGGTTTCATTTGAGGCCATGAACTGGAGTTTTTCACTCGGTAGTTTGCCCACAATGCAGTGTGGATCAGGTCGAACTTAGGGGTGCAACAGTAGTCCGTTTGTTATTGGGTTGGCGCTTGCTCCATGCGGCCTTAAAAGGTATAACAACAGATGCACACTTCTTTCGATAGCAGCAACCAATACATCGGCGACAGTCCTTCAAGGTATACCGGGTGGAACAGGGAGCAGAGAACATACAAACTCGCCAGAAACGGTAACGAGTGGGTACTTACACGCTTAGGAGTCAGATAGTGGGTGGCGACCAGGAGATACCGTGCGGGTTATCACAAAAGTCGAGAGTTATGGAGTCGACAATGCAATGCAGAGCGGGGTGTGAACAGTGGAAATCGACCATCTTAGTGAGGAGAGCAGTAAGCGCACATGCATAAGTGACAACAAAGCTTTGTGTTGCGGCAATGCAAATGCTGTTACAAGCCGGTATCAAGAGACTGGGATATCACTGCTTTTGCTGAAGATAATTAACTTATCGACGGAATCAAGCCACGTTCTAGATCAACAGTTTATTGTTCTCCTAAGAGGGTTGTCACTCGCCTCCTCTTCATCATCCGGCCAATGCATGAGTACGGCTCATCCACCCATTGCCCGACCACCCGAGGCCAGGCGCAGAAGACTGAACGGGTTCAACACGTTGCAATCAAGCTCATTTCCAGTTTGCGGGGTTTACTGTCCGAGGACAGGTGCGAGAGACTGGGACTACACACCCTAGCCTATCGTTGATTGCTAGTCGACTTTGTCATGGTCTACCGCATTCTACATCTAGGTGACTTCCACATACTTATGCCACTCCTCCACTTACAAATACCTTGCAGCATACGCGGACACTAGTACACGCTTCTGACCCAGATCTGAAGCGAGTTCCACATCCCTTGTGCTCCGAACTGTAACTGGTAAACGTATGGAACAATGTACCGGGATATACAATGGAAGAAAACTCAGTGCAGTAAGTCAAACAAGTGTTGGATGTGCATTTCTCAAATGTAAGATTCCGGTAACGATTACGCACTGATATCTCATGCTTGTGATCCCTAAGTTCCGTGTTTTTTTACAATATCACGTGAGAAGGTGAAAAACGATCAGGGTATTGACAAGTCAGACAGTTTGAGCTTTTGTAGAAATTACAACTTCTATTTGCTCCCACAATACAGTATTCAGTATTAAACTCGTAACCCCGACGAATTACAAAGGTGTGATGAAAGTCATCAAATCGTTGAAGCTGACAAACAAGTTCCAGTATGGTTTTCTCAATTAACGATCTTGCCCGAACTGACAATTGCGATAGGTAGACTAAATAAGAGATTGCATTTGTGCAATGATACTTCAATTATTTAACATGCAAAAAGCATATACATGCAAAGCATACCTCATAAAACAGACACTTTAGGTGGCCAGCACATTTTGGAAAAGTTCAATTACCAGTGGTGTTATTCAACGAAACATGTTTGGCCTTTTAATGCTCTGTTCTAAATCAATGACGTATTGTCATTAAACAGGATAAACCATTTTTATTCGATGGTCATATAAGGATTAGTTACAAGTTCTGATGAGTTGAATCGCAAATCAAACTATTGCTTAATCACTTTCCCTCTATTTGTAAGGCGACAAATGGATGACGAAATTCTCGGCGAAAAAATCAAGTATCAATTTTCGCGGTTGGTAGGTATAGTAGACTAAATAGCCAGCACCTTCGAGTGCAACCATATAGCAGCAATCTCGGCAACCAGTACCTCCGTACCTTTAACCTTTGTGAACAGGCCAGATGGAGCGAGTAAAACAATTTGTGGCTAATATATCCAACAAGATCCAAATAATCCTAGGCAGATTTGATCGTGATAAAATTTACGCTTATGCAGTTTTCGTGTATTGCAGCATAGAACTTGGAGTAACATAAGAAAAGTTCTATAGAGCCTAAGAGATCGTTTAGCAAAAGTCTGTTAGGTAATACTTTCACCAAGAACTACCGAGAGCGGATCCAGCAACTCTAAGTCGAACCCCTCTGGCTGTGAATGTGCTGCCATACAAGATGATTCACCAAAAAACCTAGCCTGATTTACCTACGCTGGAATTGTAGCACAGTTCAATCCGACAACGCTGTAGCACAGATTGTACTCTTGACACATCAAAGTACAGGACAAGTGTGCGGTCTAATCTTTTTTCTAAACAGGCATACCGTCCTTCACCCTACAGTATAACACAACCCTTTGGAACAACCATAGCCATTCATACATGCATGTAGTGCCCACGCAAGAGCATGATAAAACCTGTTCACAAATGATTGTGCTGACGATGGAAGAGACTAGAAGGGCGAAAAACACACCAACTATCGCCAGTATTACAGCGCGTCGAAACTCCATGCGCAGTGACAACTTTCCAGTTACCTTGGTTACGACATTACACGTTGATTATGAATTCACCCCCCCCACACACACACACACATACACCTACAGAAAACGCTGCTACTACTGCCACTGAATAACTTCTCATCCTCAGGAAGCGGAGGTGGTGCAAGTATTAGGCGTGATTCAACATCGAAACAATCGCTGCAATAGTCTCTAAATGTGAGCATGGGAACAGGAATGGTGTGTGCAGCGCGCACTCGTATATGCCACACATGAATCAAAAAGTACGAGCAAGAGGGTTTTCCCACTGAGTGAAAATGACATTGTGGTCTTGGAAAAGTCTAGGAGTGGGCAAACTCATTTGCATGGGTGTCATCTGATGAAATGAGGATAAGCTATGACAGTAGACAAAGAGAAGATGCCTACGGGTAGTTACGGATCTCATCAGCATGCAGCTAGTATGAGTGGATGAGAAACACACTGAGGGCACAAACCATTAGACTTGCAGTAACACACGGAGCTGAGGAGTATGTTGCAGGCATAGATCCATCTAACAGTGTCACATGACTGTCACCCAGCGGATGATAGTAAAAGATAGACAAAAGCACACACAACAGTTCGGTGCTCCACAGCGCGAAAACGGAGGTCCTGATTATCGGTGTTTTTGTCTGAGATCAGTAGGCGGATGGTATTAGGTTGTCTTTGTAAACTGTAAACAACTGTGCGAAATTGCTATCAAGTAGGCTTCGTTAGCCTCACTTAACCCATAACGTAAGTGGTCGTGGTCGAATCGATCCACATGAACGCACCGCACTAGTGGTAGGTTCGGTTTTAATCAGCAAGACAAAGTAGGCACATGACCGCGACTCGGCTGCTAGCCGGTTTATCACTTCTAGTTTCCAGACGAATGGCTCCATCAGAAGCGAGCCCGTCCCCAAAGTACACAAACAACGGCTGTGTGGGCGAAGCCGGTGTTAATAACGAGTAAGAAGATGGCGGATTAAAGGTGGACTAGTCTGAAGGCCAAACATTCAAAATGCACATAGAACAAAATCCACATTGCCTTAAAGACTGGATTCAGCTCTAGAGCCGGTACAGTCAATGTCTGTGGATAGAATCAGCCATCAAAAATATACGAACGGGAACAATCAGGAAAATGTTCAGATGACAAAATGTAGGTAGCATACCGATAAATGCGATGATGCCATGACAAGCGTATGTGGTTGGCCCTAAAGACCATAGTCTGGAATATGGTAATCCGGATAACAAAGCGGCGCTGTTTCACGCCAACATGAGTCCAGGCTCCACAGAGACTGTCAATTCTAATAATGTGAAGATTGTGCCCGAGTGTCGCCAAAAACAACACTGAGTGAGATAAAAAGAGTACGGACATAGATAAATGCGAGAAAAATTAAGCATGTAGTTGATGTTGACGTACCGACGGTGTGCGTTTCTATACCGGAAAGGTGAAACAGTGGAAGAACAATGGAATTGTACTTGCGTTCAGCACGCTTCCGGCCAGCATTCGGATTCACAAAGACAAGCAAACGACGGGGGCGTGTGGTATCTAAATCAAGGGGACGGATGTTAAACACGAATTGTGAGGAAAAACAGGAATATGCCGATAAAGTAAAGTTACTACAAGGGAATAAATTCGTCATTTGATGACAGGCTACTTTGTCCTCTGCACGGTAGTAAGGCGCAAGTCTGTGAATAGTGGGCGGCGCTATATCGCATCTAGTAACTTATACACTATGTTTGTTACCATCCCCGAAGCTCAATGGTCTCAAGCACAGACTAGCAATAGTGGAGTTGCGGGTTCGAGCCCTACAAGGATCAGATGGAATGCACACTGCTGACGATTCCGGAAAGGATAAGATGGCCGGAAGCGTAATGGCCACTTGACTGAGTAAGTGTAATGAGATTATACTTATATAAGTTAGTACCTAATCATTCCCGTTTGTAACAAAAAATGTTTTGGTGGCCTGGGAAATCGCAACCAGCCTTGACTTTTGATATGAACTGAGTCCGTTTTCACCTATTATTGTGCATTCAATATTTATGGACAAGCGATCAAGAGTAGAACATATTTTTCGATTCTGATCGATTCAGTGGATAGCACAGGGTCACTGAAAGACCAGGCAAGTGGACATGCACGTTATACGCAGAGGCGGAGGCACATGGCGACAGAATGCGACTAGGGTTAAGCAGACATCGGCAGTAGACCGGTATTGCACTTCGCTGCTGCGCAACCACCATCAGTCGCACGTGGGCTGAGGATACTGCGATGGCCGCCTGGTCCTCACACAAGCTCGAACGCGCGCCGTCGGATTACAAAGCGGGAATGTAATCATCAAGGCTACGAGCCGGCACTAGGGTTAGTTGCTTCAATGAATAACCAGTACGAAAAGAGTTGGTACAACTGCGTTTGGTTAGTTCAATAGACCAGTGGCCGAGTGGATTAGGCAATCTGGATTAAAATCCACAGGTCGTTGGTTTGATCCTATGTAGACATGGCCGACCTCGGAGTATTTCTAACCAACAGACAACTGACGTTAATCATGTGGCAGCAAAGCGTCGGTAAAAGGAATCGGCGTACTGTTGATATCGACCGAATTGTTTGGTATATAGCTGTGGTTGTAAAGAACAATACAGGAGAGAGACTGTGTCTATAAAGTTGACATTGTATCAAGACCATCTTCATTAATACACGTTAGCTGAACGTAATAAACGTACTTCAGCTAATCCGGCGCAATACAAAAAGATATATAGAAAACGAGATACAAAACATTACATTACACAGAATAAAGGCAAAAACTTAACATGATGCGTAGTGTCATACTAAGCAACACATGTAACATAGAGGTTGGAGGGGGAAGACAAGCGGGAGAGGAGAGGCAGAGAAACTCACAACACAAACGCCACTGGTGCCGGCTCTTCGCCATGTCAAGAAACGCCTCTTCAATCAGCTGAACCCCTTAAAAACACTACCGTAATTAGTGGATGAGGAAAGGTCGCTGGCAGATAAGCAAGTGCGGATTGGGGACGTTGGTCAGCCGGTGGACGAGTGGTCTGCATGCCTAGCTTGCAATGATAAGGTAACCGCTTCGAATCCGTGTAATGGCGGGCGTCATCGCGATATACTCAGTCCACGTGCGACTGGTGGTGGTCGCGTGAAAGTGAAGCTCTGTCACGGCGTACAACTGACACATCATCATTGGAGACGTAAGTGTGTAAACGGAAGCGTTAGCTATGTCTCATAAAAACGCAGATTTGGGGAGCTATCAGGTAGCACCGAGCGCAAAGCTAGATAATTGATAGAGAAGTGGTACACCCAAAAAAGACGCTTCGATGGAGCACAACTCCCTGAACGGAGACAGAGAGGCGCTTTATGACCGCTAAAGATAATCCAGACGCGCAGTTACAGCGGCTGCAACGAAGTTTCACGCAACAAAAGCGTAGCAGCTTCTTGAGTTTCTTTTTGTTCAAAGTAGCGTGAACGCTTAGATCTTCGAAGCCATGCATAGCCTATATGAAAATAAAATCTACAGGACAAGAGATGCAACAAGCCAAAAGTGGTCCAACGGCCCAAAATTGGAATATGACAGGCAGAAATCGTCTTCCACGGACAATTCATTTGACTGCCGGTGGATAAACACGGCATCTGGTTCCAAAACATTACTATGGACGTCACTATATACGATAGCAAACGTTTTTCATAAGACAACTCAGTGAAGTAAGCAATTTCCAAACGAAAACCTTCCATCCATCTGAAAATACACTTATAAGTCTAAACAAGTTAGTTACGGTGCATTGGGGTGAGCATCACGAAGATGCAACACAGACTAACGCGTTCAGCGACTGTGTTGTGCATCATTCACTAAGTGGAGATGACGACTAATGGACATAGCCTATTAGGTCAGACCAGTGACAATGTCTCGATCGATTATGAGACCTCCCAGTCCGTAGGCTTAAGGATCACAAGCCTGACTTGTAACCAGAGGGCGCAGGTAGGAGCCTGTGTAGGGATCGGGCGACCATCGCAGTATCCCTAGCTCATCATTATCTACAATACACGTCACCTGGGGGCGAGAAACATGCCTCCGCTAATGTGCCGCAATACGAAAACGATAAAATATTAAGACACCACACAAAAATTCAAAAAGCAAATAATATAATGTTAAATATTATAGCATATTTTTCGCATGAGATCGCAAATGGAGGAGAGGGGGATGGATAAAGAAACTAACAGCACAAACGCCATTGGAGCCGGCTCCTAACCATGTCAGCAAATGTGTCCAACTAAACGTCCTTCGGACCCCATCCCGGCGGTCAGGTAACACCAACCGACGTCAACTTCGAAGTGAGGGCTTCCATTCCTTTCGACCAAGTCACCGGTTAGCCTGCCTTCCTCCTCCTCCAACCACACCCCAGGTATATAAACAACGCACATAGCGGGATTCGGCAGCCGGCATGCCCAACACCTGACCCAGCCATCGGAGCCTGGCGTGTGATTTAACGGTGCTGAGCGGATACCTCGCTCTTCCCAGACCAAATACACGACGCTGAACACATTGACTGTTCACGCAGTGCCCCCACCAAAGCTGAGCTAAGCTGCGAAAGCAGCGATGGTCAAAAGTAGCTAGTCTCTTTATGTCTGTCGACTTGATGGGCCAGGTTTCACAACCGTATAAGAGGGTTGAACGGGCGGCTCCATTATAAACTCTGACCTTCAGGGTTGAGATGACGGAGATTGGCAAAATCGCCCCGAACTTTTGCTGTGGGTCGTAATCTCATCTTCGATCCCACGGGTGCTAACATAGCTTCACAAGTACTTGAAATACTGAATGACCTTTCTCTGGTCACCCCCGAGAGTCAGCGCACGGATGGGTCCCTGCCAATTTTGGAGAAGTTTGCATTTCGAGAGAGAAAAGCATAGCCCAAAACGATTGACAGCCTGTGCTAATCTGTTAAGTGCTGCTTGTCACGTTCCGGATCTGACACAGATAAGGGCAATGTCCTCCGCATACTCCAAGTCAAGAAGTTGTTCACTAGGAAGCAGTTCCACAGCTTGTATGTCGTGTCCAGCCAACGACGCTTCCATGACTTCGTCAATGGCGAAGCTAAAGAGGAAAGGTGGAAGCTGGCAACCTTGTATCACACCACTGGAGATACTGAAGTGTGGTGACAGGTTGACATACACCCTCACTCTGCCCGAACTATGCGCGTACTGCGTTCTGACCATGTTTACGCATTTTTCGGACACACGTTTCCTCCTCAGCCCAAGTGCGACTTGTGGTGGCTGCGCGTCAACGGAGCGTCGCTAAGCAGTACCGACGTACTGCTGCTGCTTATGAGAATTAGATGTTACGGAGTGCCATAGGTTATAAACAAGTAGTTTCACTACCCACACAAATATGTTCAAAACGTTACTGATAGGATCGTGTGGTAGTGATTCCAAGACAAACGAGCAGAAAATAGTGATATTATCCTAATATTTGGTAGATAGACTAAGCTCATTTTTTTGGTTCCGAGTGTCACTATAAGGATTAAACAAACGGTTTGAGAGAAAACAATCAATAGGAATGGTGGATGAAGCTGAGTCAATAAGCCAGTAAAAAGAATACAAAGGAAAGAACCTGGAGTAAAAATGCATTTGTTCAAGGTGGACGTCCAAAGTTCAGCATCGTCGCCGGAATCGCACCAAAAAATATCTTGTCTGGTTCTCCATTTGTACTTTGCCGTTCGAACCAAACTAGACACCACGAATCCGTGGACCTTGACATTGTCGCCGATTTGGTGCAGGATGCTCTGCAATAACTTGAAGCGTTTCGCATTCGTCACCCCAAATCTTAGCTGCGAAAAGGTGCGAACAAATACAATGTCACATAAGTTAACTGAAATTGGTAGAATGACTTAACAGAATTCAGTGGCTTACTTTGAGTCAACTCATAAGAGAGAGTAACAACTTCTGGTTTCCAAAGCAGCTGTGATTCGGTAAGTATTACCAAACATGGGATGGAATCATTGCACAAAAGTCGAGAAAATAAAGTTGCTTTTAGTGTAGCCGAACGCGCTTTACGCTCAACCATGTACGACTTTAAACGAGAGAAGGATGAACGCCGAGCCTACGCATTGGGTGGGCATGCACCTGGAAAAAAAATACAAAATTGAAAACGATGTGAAAATGAGCATAAAAAATTAAACAAATGTAAAAGGCCTGGATTGGCTAGGTAGTTGCAGTATAATCAGCATCCACATGGCCATAATTATTCGTGACAAAGCGTAATGTGCGGAGCACCAGTTGTTTCTTAGTAGCACTGCTCTTAGACACAGTGGGCGCCGAAGTGCCACTTGGCGTCCTTCTGTAGCTGACCAGCGATTGACCCAAATTGATCACATTGCCATAAGTTATAGATGGCGTGGTTCCATCCTGGATTTCCGCTCGTACTGGAGTACCTGTGTCGACTCTGATCGTGCCTTGGTACATTTTCGTTTCTCCATGAACTATACCGGGAGGCGCACCAAGCGTCCCCTACGATTGACAACGGAGAAATTGTCTCAGTCCTCGGTCAGGCAAGCCTATCAAGACGCACTGCATGCTGAACTTCCGAAGTCTTGTCCTAATGACGCTGAGCTTCAGTGGAACAGGATCTCGACCGCCATGCACGACGCAAGAGCATCTGTTTGTGGCACTATCAATCGTCACCGCACCAGTCACTGGATATCCGAGAGGTCGGTGAACCTGTTGGAATCTAGAAGAAAAATCCCGGCTGGTTCTGAACACAATGTGACCAGACGGGCTGTTAAGCGTGAACTAAAGCAGAGCCTGCGTGCTGACAAGGAAGCCTGGTGGATCAGTAGGGCTCAAGAAATGGAGGAGGCAGGAGCACTAGGCAATTACCGCAAGCTCTTCCAGCTTATCCGCACCACTGGTCCCAGAAAATCAGGTGTCAGTGAGACAATCAGAGACAGCGCGGATGCGCTGATACACAATAAGGAGCGCCGTACGGCTCGATGGACGGAACACTTTCAAGATCAGTTCAGCTGGCCTCCTGCCCCCGGACCTCGTTCTACTCAGGTGATGCAGGATGAGCCATGGACGGTTAGTTTAGAGCCTCCGTCGGAGGTCGAGGTCCGAAACGCGATTACAGCCCTCAATCGTTTCCGTGCCGCTGGCCCGGATTCCCTCCCACCTACACTATTTAAGGATGGGGGTGAGGTCCTCTGCAAAGCACTGACCTTATTTGAATGGGTCTGGAAAGAAAAGAGCGTTCCGGCTAATTGGAGCGAATCGATTATAGTGGCAATATACAAGAAGGGCAGTTGCACAGACTGTTCTAACCACAGGGGTATTAGCCTAACGCCAATTGTGATAAAATTATTGGCCTCGGTTATCGTTCGTCGCCTCACTGCGGAACAGCAATCTCGGATTAGGGAAGAGCAGGCTGGTTTCCGCCAAGGACGTGGCTGTATAGATCATATATTTACTCTGCGGCAGGTGCCAGAGCAGCGCCACGCATACCGTAGACCGACAATAGCTGTGTTCCACGATTTCAAGAGTGCATTTGATTCAGTCGATCCATCGATTCTGTTAGAAATACTTGCGCGAAAAGGCGTTCCCACGAAATATGTGAACATTCTTCGTGCTCTATACTCGAACACTACAGGCCGCGTCAGGTTCTACGGTGGCCTATCGGATATCTTTCCGACCACAAGTGGCGTTCGTCAGGGTTGTCCGATTTCCCCGTTTTTGTTCAATTTCGTCGTGGACTCCACCATGGAATGTTCCCTTGCGGAATCTCACGATGTAGGCGTTGCATGGTGAAAGCTTAGTTGATCTAGAGTATGCGGACGATAACATCTTGCTTTTCGACGAAGTTGCGGCGGCACAATCAATCCTGAATAACCTGGCCAGAGTGGTCCCATTATTTGGTATGCACTTCGCACCTTCACAGTGCAAAGTGGTGCTGCAGGACCACCAGTCACTTGATGACCCCTTGACGCTTGCTAACGAGGAGCTCGAGGTGGTTGATCAATTCACTTTTCTTGGCAGCTGCATCAGCAGTGATGGGAGCATAGAAACTGACGTCAGCTCACGCATTGCAAAAGCCAGAGCTGTCTTCTTGAACCTGCGGCATCTTTGGCGACAGAAGGGAGTTTCCCTCCGTCTGAAAGACCGTGTATACAAGACCACAGTGAGGGCCGTTCTGCTATGTGGAAGTGAGATCTGCCCCCTTCGGTCTGAAGATCTGAGGCGCCTTCAAGTCTTTGATCATCGTTGTCTGCGAAGCATTGCTGGTGTGGGATGGCACCAGCGTGTCCGCAACGGTGATGTGCGTAGACGAGTACTAGGTGGTGATAATCATGCTGGCTCTCTAGAACAACAGATAGCACTGAATTAGTTGCGTTGGCTCCGGCAGGTGCTACGTATGCCTGGTCACCGCTTACCTAGGAGAGCCTTGTTTAGTCTGCCAGGTGTAGGGTGGCGCAAGGCTCGCGGTGGACAGAAGTTGACTTGGCAGCGGAAAATGAAGTCACTGACGACCAAACTGGGTGCAGTTGGTCCGTCTCGCCTTCCGGCCTGGAGTCCACGTGACTCGCCTTGTGCTTGGCTCGAGACTTTACAGGACATGGCTCTGCTGCCGTCCCGTCTCCTGATCGGATTGCCTCTTTAACGTGTGTTTGTTGCTGAGTTATCTGCGGGGTAATGGCTGATTATGACGCGTGGCAGTGAAAGCCGCAAGGAAGCTGTCTCGCCGATGCCGCCTAATCTTTGCACGATAGCCAGCTGTTTGTGATGGTATGTTGTCTACAGGTGTACGCGCCTTGACCCTGAATGTTTGCATAGGGCATTAAGGTTTTCCGATAAGTCCCCCTTCTCTCCCTCTTCTTATTCTTTATTTCATAGGTCCTCATGGTTGTATGGCAGCGAAGCATCAGTTCAAATGGCTGATATACTGCTGTTGATGATGATGATGTAGTCATGTTCTCTCATATAAAAGGTCGATGTGCTTTTTGTGTCTGTCTGCGCAGGAAAAGTATTATGGATAAATAGGTAAACACTACCCGAATGCCGTATGCACATACTTCAGGCAGTTAGCCATCACAATGAGACTGGACCTTAACGTGTTGCGACGGTTTGCGTACCTCTTCGGCCCACTGAGCTATACTAAATGAAGCCAGACCTACTCCTACCAGATTAGTCAATGGTTAGAGGTTAGACAGTCTTCTGGTTTTTCAGATTTGAGGTTTGAAATAGTGTAACCTCTATTTCTGTAAAACCAAATTACTACCACCTCCCCGCTGCCTCAAGGACAGGCCTATGAACCGAAAGCTTTGGTTGAGGACTCCAATCGTCCTCCTGTCTAAGTCATAACACCCTGACAGCATCACAGCCCACGTAGGATCATGGCTACTTCTTCAAACTTCAACCATACCTTGCATCCTCCGTCGCGCAGATTATCAAGGGTCGCCTTATCTGCTGCATACAGCAGGTGCTAGTGCTAGTGCTGGCATCTCGCTTCTATCTTTCTCACTTGTTTCTCTTTCTCCCATCAAGACCCATTACTAACCTTACTTCTGTAATGTCTAGTTAAATTGACAGCGTTAGCAACGCCACCAGAGTCACACCAACTGCAGGAACCTTCCCGCACGATCCACTGAACTTGTACGTGCTGACCTGCGGATGCGCTTTGGCGGACGCCCGCGACGATGTTGTGAGCGCATTGACACCGGCAGACTGTCGAAGGCAACTGTTCTGAATGCCTATCAAATTACGCTGTCATCCGAGTTGAATAAACGCTCACTGGATGCAATTGAAGCTCACTGGTCTCATATTCACCATTCCTTACTAGCAGCAGGAAAATCCTCATGTGGTGTGACTAATCGCCAACATGGACATTGGGTCTCTTCACAGTCTATGGAACTTATAGATGCTCGCCGACATATTCCGGCTGGAAGCGAACACAATGAAACTCGCAAAGAGCTCCGGGCGAAACTCCGTGCTAGCCTGAAGAGAGACCGCGAATCCTGGTGGTCTCGTCGTGCAACAGAGATGGAAATGTCCGCTGCCCTTGGTAATCATCGTGAGTTATTCCAACTGATACGGGAAACGGGCAGCAGGAGACCTGGTGTTAGTGAAACTATACGTGACGAGAGTGAACAGCCTATCCACAACTTGTCAAAACGATTGGAGCGTTGGGCTGAGCACTTTAAAAGGCAATTTAATCGGTCGGAATTGTTAGATTTCTCGCCGACCATTAATCGCCCCGCTCCGTGGGCTGTTCCTTTGGATCCACCCTCTCGCTCAGAAGTCGAACGTGAGATCAAACTGTTGAAGTTAAATAAAGCCGCAGGACCGGATGATCTTCCTCCAGCCCTCTTCAAATTCGGAGGACCTGCTCTTGTGAATGATTTACACGAGTTATTAGTGAAACTGTGGGAGCAGGAAACTGTCCCTACCGACTGGAGCCGCTCCATCATAGTCCCAATTTTCAAAGGAGGCTCACGATCGGAATGCGGCAGCCATAGAGGAATCAGTCTGATCTCCATCGCCTCCAAATTGCTTGCCACTGTCATCCTTCACAGACTGACTGGCACTCGTGAAAGCCAGATTCGTGAAGAGCAAGCTGGATTTCGTCAAGGTCGTGGCTGTACTGATCACATCTTCACTTTGCGTCAGTTGTTGGAACACCGTCACACATATTGGCGGCCCACCATTGTCGTGTTCCTCGATATCAAAGGTGCATTCGATTCGGTGGATAGACATGCACTTTGGGACTGTCTACTCAGGAAAGGTGTACCTGAGAAATATGTGAATATTATCCGAGCATTATATACGCGTAGCTCGGGCAGAGTGAGGGCTTACGGCAAGTTGTCGTCGCCCTTTAATATCTCCAGCGGCGTGAGACAAGGATGCCCGCTGTCACCTTTCCTCTTCAACTTCGCTAGTGACGAAGTCATGGAAATCGCGTTCACAGGACACGACTTAGAAGGTGTGGAGCTACTCCCAGGAAAACGACTTCTTGACTTAGAGTATGCTGATGATATTGCCCTGATCTGTGACAGCTCAGAAACGTGCCAAGCGGCACTGGACAGATTAGCACTAGCTGTCCGTCACTTCGGGCTTTGCTTCGCACCCTCGAAGTGC